TTTTTTTTTCACGCAGATTACTGTAATATGTAGACGCCAGCATCCGTTCTCATGAAATACGAAGTTAGTTTTTGAAAATAGTACTTTTTCTAGGCGAATTTATTTTATTTTTTACAGATGGTTTTAGCGACCTTTCTACTTATAATTTAGTGTTTTGCCGGCTCGAGGTCAATTTTAGAAATTCTTTTATGAAACACACAAGTTTTTTGGTGTTTATTTCCGATATATTTCGATTACGCTTCGGTAACCGTCCTCGGGGCAAATTAATTTACACGTCCGCACTGTTTGACGTGGTACTCCAAACTCCCTGAGGACGGTTATCGAAGCGTAATCGAAATATATCGGAAATAAACACCAAAAAACTTTAGATGCTGGCGTCTAGTGCTAGTGCACTAGTTGAGACGATAATTTCATGGTAATGCTAGATTTATATGGTACAGTCTAAAAAAAAAAAAAGACGAATAAGTTTGTAAAGAAAACTTTGTTAAACATTGCAAATATTTACATTGAAACTGAAATGCTCCTATTTACTTGTTATAACGATGTAGCTCGAAGTCGAGCTATGTATATTATTGTGAGAAATAAAAATTTCATGAACTTAATTGTCGCAAAGCTCTAAAGAAAAAAATCAGTACTGAATGTAACGCGCGGTCCTTACAGCGGTTTTTTTTTTTAATCATATGTATGTTATTTTGACAGTGACAGCTCTTTCAAAAAGTCATAAATCCCGCACGTGATCGTCGTGAGAAGTCAACGCATCCTCAGACAGAGAGAGAGGGGGAGAGCGAGGTACAGTTTGGTGTGGATTTTGGAGTGGTGGCATCATTGGCCCATTGTTCTTTGAAAATCCTGCTAGAAATACCATTTCGGTCAACGGTGAGCGCTATAAAGGCATGATGAACGTTTTTTTTTTGTTGCTAGAAATGTCAGACATGGACTTGGACGATTAGCAGCATGGCGTGCCATGTAAAAATCGATCTTTGGCGCGCTAAGTTCGGTAGTCGTTTTATCTGGCGTCTAGTCTAGGCAATATCAATTGGCAACCTCAGAGCAGCGATTTGACCCGATTGGACTTTTATTGTGGGATGCAATTCGGCTCTGAGATCAAAGTGGTTTTGATTGTGGCTTTTCTATTTTCGAACAAAAAATCAAAAATCAAAAATAATTAAAATTTCATCTAATCTAATCATTTCTCCATGCTGTGCCCGGGGTTCGCGGTGAGTTTAACCCCTATTAACACCTGATAAAATAAACATTAAGATTTGCAAAAAAAATAAAGTCCTATTAAAAAGCTAGCATTTAATAGTATTGCTCATGGTAAAAACATTACAAGGTAAATTCATTCTCTCATTTCGTCGGCCATGATTTTTTTCTGACGTTTGCCAACATTTTAAAATCATATAAAATTGAAAATAAAAAAATTAAATTGTTCACAATTGTTGTTGTTTGAGATTGAAAATGAGAATGTGTGTGTGAGTTTGAGTTTTGATTTTAAAATTATATTGTTGGCAAACGTCAGACGGCCTCTCAATGGTTTTACCTTGTTATGTTTTTATCATGGTATTGCTGGCCATTTAAATTCCAATAAATTATCACACTGCCTTTTGTCGCTTACGATGAAATCGAAAATATACTCATTCGATAAACATTTCAGGATTTTTTTTTTGTCGTTGTGTGTAAATTATTTATTGTCAGCTTTTTTTGGTAACATTGTTAATAGAAAAATTTACATATTAGCAATATTACATATATATATACATATATATTGAGCACTGCAAAGTTATTTGCACAAAAGACTATATATGGAGTCCACCCCTACTGGTTTTATTTGCAGTGCAAATTAAGGAGCGTATTATGCACATTTGTAATTACAAAAGTAATTAATTAATTATACAAAAAAAAAATGTATGTATGCAAATATATATGTATATGTATTTGCAAACACATAATTCACCTAGTACATAACTTGACGATTTACAAATAAAGGAAAACTTAAAAAAACAAAAGTAAACGCATCATACTAACAACTGTACAATACAAATTTAGCTGGAACTGCTTTTGCTAACGAAAAAAACAATCTTCAAGAAAAATCAGAAGTATACATGTACATATATGTCAATAATAACGAAGCACTATGTAGTAAGTATGTAGTATGTATGTACTTTTGTGAAAGTAAGTACTTTGCAAAAATCGACTAAAAAATTTGCTGCTAAGGATAGCTAAAATTTACATAAGATCGCTTTTATATTCAATTTCAAATTTAGTATCCAGGCATATGCAAAACTGGATTGCTATGTGTGCATGGAATTTTTATAAAGTGAACAAATGTCGAACAAAGTTTTATTTGCAAACTAAATTTTTAAAAATTGTGAATCGAAAAAAAGGTTTATTAAAAAAAAAAAAAACTCATTTTATTTAATAGAACAAACTGCTGCAGCGTGGGTGATTATTATTTAATTATTAAATAGCTTAACTCGATTACAAGTAATTGAATTAAAAAAGTCAATTTCAAAACAAACTCAACAAACAGAATTAGCTAGTTTTATTTTCGCTTCCCTGATCATTGAACGAACACAGAAGTTCTTAGAAGTGTAGAAGCAGTAGTCGAATTTTTTGTTTATTTAATTATTTTTAAATAAACAGCAGTGGTGGTAGTAGTAGTAGGTAGTAATGGCGCTAGCAGTAGAATGCTGTTGTAAATATCGAGAATCTTTACACATTACAGTTACGTATATGTGCGTGCGTGTGTGTTTGTGCATAAGTGAGTTTGGTTGGTTGGTCAAAAATCGGTCACACGTTGTAACAACAGTCGAAATACGCCTTCAGAGGCACGAACGTTACGATCGCCAAAAGAACCGCGGCGGCAGCAGCAGCAATCTATTTCCCTTGCATTTCGTACTGTTTGCATAGTTTGCTGCTTATGAACCGTTCGTTTTTCGTTCGTTTCTCAGCAGTTTTTTAAATGCTTTGCTTAACGGCTAAGCAGCTGCTTAACGCTTTATATATAACATTCGCTAGACACACATCGAAGCAAGCAAACTTGTTCGAAGGGATGCATTCAACGGCATTCGGCTTTTTTTTTTGTTGTTTTTTTGCTTTATAAATAAACTTTCCGTTTCATTTCGCGATTATCTTGCACACAATCAGTGCACAAACAGTCAAATGCATTTGCACAATTTACACAATTGGGCTAGTTCAGCACAATCGAACGCAAAAGATGTACCGCCTTTTTTTTATTTTCATCATGAATATGCCTATATAAGATGAAAGTATATAATCATAAAAAAAAAACAAATACTGAATTAATATTTAAATTTTCTGGGCAATTTTGCTAACGAAACAACAAAAGGCCTATTTAATTTTTAATTATTAAAATTGACAACCAGAAGGTTTCATTTCGTACTCGTACAAAATATAGAGTATTTAAACTCAGATTTAAGTTTCAATTTGTAAGCTTTACTTTGATTTGCAAGTGTTTCATTTTGTTTTTTTTTTATTTTTTTTTTCATTACAACTAAATGACAAAACTAAAATATCAAAGCGGTAAATGTGCCATAATTGCGAAATAATTTATTATATGTGTATTACAAAGCCTGCAACAAAAGTAAATCTACTTACATCCGTCTGCAGCCTTTGTGCCTCCTGTTCTGTCTCGAAAGTGACGAAACCATAACCCTTGCTAACTCCAGCACGATCGACTATAATCTTGGTAGACTTGACATTGCCATAGGCAGAAAAAACGCGGCATAAGTCCGACTCTGTTGTGTCGCCACTATTTGTCGTATTAACGGTTAATGTGTTGAGAGAGCAGTTGTCCAATTAATGTGCGCGTTATCAGAAAAATATAAACAAGTTAGTAAGCCATAATATTAGATTGAAAACTATTAGTACCGAATTTCCACAGGGCATTGAAATTAAAAAAAAAAAAAAAAAAATGCAGTCGGAAAATGGCTCCTCGACCAAGCGGACGAGTAAATTGAATTAAGGCAGAAAAATAAGTTAGGTAAATAAAAACAAATATTAAAGAATTTGCATTTAACTAATAACGAAAATGTATTCGCAAATTATATCAATTAATAAAAAAAATAAAATTAAATTAATGTAATTAAAATTTTTTCAATCATTTAATAGCCAGTGAAAATTCGGCATAAGTTATAAATAGTTAGAAAATAAGCCTTTTCAAGCTACCACACTCACCTTATGCCGCCGACGAAAATTCTGTTTGGTATAAGCGTACCATATTTCGGTGCGGATAGTGGGGCCTCAAGTGCCGCCGTCGGCGCTGCTCCTGTCGGTGCTGCCATCTTGTGCATTGGCTGTGGTTGTATTTTAAAATTTGCAAAGGGAAGAATTTTGGCGGTTTTTATTTATACACTACCACTGGACAAAAGTTTGATCCTTTGAGGATGTAGGCGCTGCAGCTAATGGGTTTTGCTGTTGTTGTTGTAATTGATTTATTTATTCTCTTATCGTTTGTGTATTTTTTTTTTTGCTTAGTATTCACTAATATCTAGAGTGCGACAACCAGTATAATCACTCGTAGTTTATTCTCTAAAAATTGCTTTAGTTATTTAATAATAAGTCCGCTATATGCTCTCGACTATTTGACTCCTTTAAGTACGTTGGCCAATTATGGCTAATATGCTTTCGGCGCTTAAGTATTTGCACTCTTTCTGCTTTGCAAGGCTCGTAATTATCTTTGAGAGTGCGTTAGTGAGCTGGTTTAATGGTAAGCCAGCTTTTATCAATTAACACCTCGTTGGAACGATTATCTCCTTTTTTACAAATTCTGAAATACACAAATAAAAATTAGCAATTATATGTTTTGACAGAAAAAAATTTTTCTTGCACGTCAATAAACTGTTTTTTTTTTTTAAATATAGATTTGTGAAGAAAGTGAAAAATTAAATACAAGTACCATTAAAAAGGGTAACCAACTGGGTTTTTAGGTTAGGTTATAAAAAGTAAGAAGTTTCATTTTCCCCGAGCCGGTTCACTTTTCACTTTTGGTTTACATGTATTTACTATGGACGGATGACAAATTTTGCCAGCAGTCGAAGTTTATTGGGCTCGCCCAAAACCAATAGGGTAAATATGAAGAAATATGAAGTAGCGAAGGAGATAGAGGATCTGGTAGCAACGATCCTCGTTTCTTCGTATTCGTAGAGTATATAATTTGTTTGCTAAACCCTGCAATGGTAAAATTTTGCGTACGGTTCAAATCGCAGCTTACAATGTCCAGATATTTATATCCACGTATACTTTGGGTAGCGACCAAACACCCGTTTGGGAGCGAGCTAAAGTGAGATGGCGTAAAACTTCGTGTGCGGTGTATTTGGGTCCCGCCAAGTTAAAACCTCGCCCAATGAAAAACAACAAAAAGTCACGGTGTTGGATTTGTGGTGGGAGAGACATTGCGTCGCCAAGTACTGGCGTTCCCACCGGTGTAATGTACCATGTAATAAACATTTTTATTTTGTTAATTTCAATCAGAATTTTTCTTTTGTTGTATGTATAGGCAGTACATATGTATACCCTTAAGATATGTACTATTCATTCCAGCGTATTTCTAAATAGGGTTGCCACCTAAATTTAAAAGTAAGAAATTTACTTACATAATAGATACCGAACTCCAATTATTTTTTTATTTATTTCCAAAATAACTGTTTAAAGCCATCCAAATGACCAGTAGTTGATATCCAAACCTTTAATAAAATTATAGTTTAAAAAACTAAAACCTCGCTATTATAATTTCCATTCGTACTATCATCAGGTATGTAACTTGAGAATAGAAATCGCTGCATCTTTTAGGCGTATCAATATTACATAGTTACATCCCGAGCTAATAAAAGGGAGGTAAAAAGGATATATGCGATCCGATCAAAGCTCGGTCAACCTGGTACTGAACTTTTAAAAGAAGAGGCCGTCGCGACGGTAAGGTCGGTCGAAGGGTATTTTTCACACGAAACTCCATCAACTTCAATTTTTGCGCCCAGATGGCAGAACTAATAATAATAATAGATTGGCGGTTACACATACGTTAGTGTTTGGCCGAACTTCTCCTCCGATTTGTGGTGTGCGCCTCTATGCTGTTACACAAAGGGGAGGGACCTACAGTTTTACGCCGAAGCCGAACGGCGATTGTATTTTTAGAGAAGCTCTTTTTCATGGCGAAATACACTTGGATTGGATATTTTTTTTTTTTTTTTTTTTTTTTTTTTGATGTTGGGTTGAACCAGGCTTGAACCCAGGCCAGCGGTAAAAAGTATTGGCCCAGAGCACTTTTCACAATATATGCAACAGTTTATATATTTATTTTTTTCTGCTAATTTTTTATAAAAATATTTTTCATACTACAACAAAAAATATATAGAAATATAATTTATAAACTTTGTGGAAAACTCAGGAAAATTCCATAAATTTCTATTCAGATTTTTAGGACTTTTTTGAGAATGCAGTTTTTTAGTCCATTAAATTTTATGATAAAAAATGCAAGTTATGCAAGTTTGAAGTTACAAAAAAATTGCATTGGTTTTTAAGATTTTTTTTTGTTGAAGCTGTTTCGCATTTTTCCACACAAAGTATTTTCGAGTTTTTTTTTTTATGGGAGAAAATGTGTGAAAAAAATTGCCCGGTATCTTAGACTCGCTCACGGTGCACTCAAAGCTAATGGGGAATGCTTAACCACTCTTTCGGTTGAGTCTAAATAATTATTCCCTGGCTAGACTTGTAGGGATGCCAGCAAGCAGTGCTTTTCGCGGTAGCTTACCAGTTAGCGTAGTTCGTAGCTTGTACCCCAAGTGCTGGGGCAAGCACTTTGAATAACGTAACCATAGTTGAGAAAGCAGAATATACAATTTTTAGGAATAAGCATTCTGTAATGTTAGTGAGCGTTTGTTTTGCAATAATTAATAACCGATATAAGCTAACACATCTTAAGTGCTGTCACACAATAAATTAAGAGCCAAAGACTATCTAGTCTGTTCTAAGTACCCCGATTATATGAAATACAAACAAAACCTGCCACCGTCATTCAAAGCGCTCAGCATAAAGCAAAACAAAATGAAAATCTAGTGAAATACATGAAGATATGTAGGACTATTTCTTGAAATAGAAGATATACATACCATGTCTGTACATATGTATGTATGCATGTACTATGTACACACAGGTATATAATTTTAGAATCACAAAAATCTAAAAATTAAGCTTTCTTGAGTTTTCTTATGTCTCTGCACTACACACGTTATTCCTTGTATTCGTGTTTTTCAAAACCATTTTTAGCCTATAAATAAAAGAAAGAAACTGAAATGTACGAAGAATTTTCGTATTCACAGGGACATAGTGACAAAAGCGACTAATGAAATTGCCGGTCTGCGCACAGACGCTCGCTCGTACCTCCTATGTAGTATACATACATAACTATATACTAAATCTGAGTATTTTGTTGGGGGGAAAAACATATTTTCAGTTGGCACTCGCTGATTTTATTTTTTTTGATTTTTTTAAGTATTGGCCGCTGTTTATTACCTATTCAATAGAGAATAAAGAAATTGTAAGATTTTTTTTTAATCTTTTTTTTTGTGCCTTTTTGAATGACGATGACTATATAGTATATGTTTATAACTACATAAGTATGTATGTATATGAATTTTTGCTACATATGTATGTATGCATGTGCGATAGGTATTTACGTGAACACCTCTTTTAATAATGAAGTGATAAAAAGAAAATATAGAGGAAATCATGATACAATAATTTTTAGAAGGTAGTTTCACTTCAAAATTTTTGACATAAACCGTGTCTGTGACAAACACGCAATGTGGCCACTGCTACGGTATAGAACATGGGGATTATCGCTTGTTATTTTAGATATTTTTTAACAGAACATGTAAAGATGTATATGTTTCATAACTGATCACTTAATTTTTAATATAAATATACGTATTTTGTACATACATTTTTGCCACTGCTAATCACATGAATAAAAATGAAAATATAACAGCAATATTTCTTGTTTATAATGGATTAGATCCATCGCACACCACGGACTTTCTCGGCCGCCAATTTAGATGTGGTCGCTAGTCTTTCCATTGCACCACAACTTATTGGTCAGAGCGATTAAGCTGGTGTAATGTGCGCACCTCCATACATCTTCATGTACATATTTCAAGCGAGCCCTATCATTTAAATAGGCGGCCGATAAAGTCTGTGGTGTGCGGTGGCTCTTATAGCTGTGTCCTTACATCTATTCCGTGTGTTGCAATATCCACGAAAGCAGCAGTTAATTTTTTATGAAGAAAATTATTACAAAATATTCGAAAATTTCTCTACTTATATGTTTGGCTTATCTTTGTTTTATTTTTCCAACGTCAAAAGCTGGATTTTTTTTTTGAAAAAGTTGGTACAACAAAAAATACGAAACACGTTTTCTGTCAGATAGCTAACATGGCGGATAAGAAGAAGTGAAACTACCTTCTAAAAATTATTGTATCATGGAGGAAATTAATTCATAAATAAACAGTGTTGGATATTGCCGAAAACAATTTTTGTTTATTCGTTAAATGGAAGCAAATGCGACAAAAAAAAATCTAACAGTATTTTTTAGCCATTTGAAACTTGCACATCATTACACTAAAATTTAATGAGCTATAAAGATGTATATTCAAAAAAAAAATTAACACTTCTGAGAGTTTGAAATTTGGATGGAAATTTTGGTAAATTTCAGTGTTCTGCAAAATTTTAAGCTTGGGTTTATGTATGGTATTTGTTAGGGAATGTATCTTAATTGAAAATTTGGTCCAAAATGATATGTCCAACACTGAATGCATAAACAAGTAATTTGTAAGCAAGACAACAAACAACTTCAATGTTAATATAAAAAATTAGGAGTACCGTTAATTTCTTCATGCTCCAATGATCGGAACTAAACCCAATTAGTGTGAGATCACGCTTGAGGTGCCACATTTCCGATAAAAAAGTTTCACGTTAAAAAAAAAAACTAAATATATCCATTCATCTTTATTTTTGAAGTCGGTTAAAAAAGCAAATTAGCACGGTCGAATATATTCCATTGTCTGTGTTTTTTGTTTTAGTTTTCTGATTCATCGATCTTCTAGAAGCAAGCTGTAGGGACACCTTACTTTTGGACTATATTTAAACAAAACCACTGGGTGCGTGTTGTCTCTGCGCGCGGGATACGTGAAACTTAGTCTTAATCTTAATTTTCATCGTAATCCTAACCTTAATCTTTGCGCAAATCTTAACCGTAATCTTCATCTTGAACGCCATCTTGATGTTATACTTAATGTGCATCTGTATCATGCCATTATTTCATGCCATCTTTTTTATCTTTATCTTATCTTCCTTTTTATCGTCATCTTCATCTTCATATTCATTTTCGTTTTCGTTTTCATCACATTCCCCTTAATCTTCATCTTCATCTCCCATCGTCTGTATTTTTATATTTGGCTTAGTTTTTGTCGTTGCCTTTGATTGCGTCTTTTCCTTTTCCTTTATCTTTATCCTGTCTTTATACCTTTTATTATCTGTATCTCTCTGCATCCTTTTCTTTGCCTTTGCCTCTTCCTCTCCTCGCTCCCTTTGCGTTCAATGCAGCTGTTCCTTTTGTGTCCACGCATTCGCAATATACTCGCATCGCATTCACCGAGGTGTTTAATAGGTTATTTCCCTAACAATCCGGACCGGATCTGGTAATTAGAGAATAAGCGAAAAGTTTGCTCTCAAAAATGGAACGAAGTCCAGAAGTACGGGAACGCAAAAAACTAC